ATAAAATTAAATTTACTAAAAATAAATAAATAAATTACAAGAAGTTTCATTTTTTTAAACAAAGAGTTTAATATTTTGCACTAAATTATAAAATAAAAATTATTAAAGAAAAAAAGCCCTTGATATTAGAGTGTCAACAACGCACCTAATTATTTAAATCGTACAATAAGATATTGTATGAATTTACCAACACTTTGTTATGGTAAAAACTAATGCTCCATTTAGTATAATTATGGTTTTAAGTTTTTTTGTTATAGTTTTCAAAAATTTAGAAACTTTAGAATATAATTAAGTAGTTCTATAAATTAATTAAATTTAAATTAAGTTTTAGATATTTGTTTTAAAATTTTACCTAATAAGTTAGAAATTTTAATTTTTTAATTTTGGTTCTTTAAATGTTGAAAGTCAAAATAAAAAATTCAAAACTGTAATCATACTAAATATAACCTAAGTATTCATTTAATAGTATTATGATTTTTGATTTTTAGTTTTGGTTTTCAAAAATATTATAATGATTGAAAACTAAAATTAAAAATAAAAAATTAACAATTTATTTCAATGAATTTAACACTAACAACAAAAAAAATATAAACTTATTTAATAATATTGAAATTATTTTTTATTTATTTAATAATTATGATAATATATTTAAAAAATACATAAAAATAAACAATTTTTTATGTTTAAAGTTGAAAATTTTATAAAATACAAAATCAAAAACCACAATTATATTGCCGATGATCTAAATAGTTTAATAATAATTTTTTTTAATAAAAGTAATAGATCTTGAGTTTAACTCACATTATATATAAATAAAATAGACTTAAAAATAAAAGAATGTTGTCTCTAATTATATAACCTAATATATATATATTTAAAAAAAATGCCACAACTATATTAGAGCCCTAAACAATCCTTAAATGAATATAGCTAATATGAAGATTCACTAATACTTCAAAAACGAGGGAACAGAAAAAATAAGATACCCTTACCTCAAAAATGATAAAATGTCCAATAATTATTATATGATGAATGAGACTTCTCTGAGATAATAGCCATTCTTGCTGCTTTGTGGTGGTTTTGTAGTCAACATCAAAAGTTTTCACACCGTTATTGCATGAGTTCGAACTTGTTTTCTCCTCACTCTTCTCCACTGGCTTGATCCACTTGTTGTAATATC